CAGGGTGTGGTGGGGCACGCCCGCGATCCCAGCACTCCGGAGGCTTAGGTAAGAGGACCACAGTACACTCAGGTCCTTCCTGGGCTACTGCCTGGGCTACACAGCAAGGCAAAACTAAACAAAACAGAAACATCTTACAGGGTCGGGGAGATGGCTCAGTGGAGTAAGCACTTCCCTGGCAAGTGCCAGAGCCTGAGTTCAATCCCTGGTTCTGCAAAAAAAAAAAAAAAAAATCTTACATTCCTCAACCAATAACTGCATTTTTGTCACTGTTTTTACATCTCCTGTTGAGAAAAACAAAATACTATTTTTCTTTGCTGGAGACGTGTGTACATTTTGGGGGCAGATTCTGTGTCTTTAATAATAAAATACATGGGGCTGGGAAGACGGCTCAGTAGAATAAACACTTCCCTGGCGAGCGCAAGGGTCTGAGTTCAACCCCCAGTTTCTCAACAACAACAAAAATTAACAGTGTTTTTTTTTTTTTTAATTAGGAAAGGGTATACACGGTGTTCAGGGTCTCATTGCTAGTTCAGATTTATAGTTATTCTCCTGTTTACAGCCTACCAACAGCTGGGATTACAGGCGTGCACCCCCACACCTAGTCTCAATTGTCTGCTCAGTGCGTCCCAGGGGTGGGGCCGGAGGGGCAGGCCGGGGGAGGGAACCCAGGCCCCTGTGCCTGCTTGCAGACGCTTTAATCCGCTGAGCTTGGCCAGCCCTAACAATGATTTCTTTGGGTGTAACAATACTTTTGGGCTTTTCTGGTTACAGCACCTGCGGCGAGGAGCTCTAGACTGCGCTAGCCGTGCGGTCCAAAGGCCCGCTGCAGTCCTCGCAGGTCTTCGGTGCAAGAAGACGGCCACAGTGGAGGCCCACTGCTCGCCCGGCAATGGCCTCATCACGGGGAACGGGCGACCCTGGAGAAGATCGATCTGGGCACCTGCGGTATAAACTACTGGAGCGGGTCCTGCTTCTGGGTAGGGAGCGGCTTGCTGGTGTTGACATCTGGGGGTGTGAAGGACGGTGGTCGTGTTGCCCAGATTTATGCCGTCTGTTAGTCCCTCTCCAAAGCCTTGAGGGCCTATTACCAGAAGTACGCTGACGAGGCTTCCAAGAAAGGGATCAAAGATATTCTCATCCAGTACGACCGGTCCCTGCTGGTAGCTGATCCCCGTCGCTGCGAATCCAAACAGTTTGGAGGCCCTGGTGCCGTGCTCATGACCAGAAGTCTACCGAGAAGCCCACCGTGAGCACCACCTTTGGCCTTTGTAATAGACATGGAATTCTGAGATTACAAAAAAAATTGGAGGTGGGTCAAAAAATACTAGTCGTATCTCTTGCTTTCTCAATTATACCTCTCCTCTCTTCCTGTTTCTCTCTAGCTTTGTTTTGTTTATTGTTTGAGACAGAGTCTCCCTATGTAGCCCAAGCTGGCCTCAAAATCCCAAGGAGCCTCCTGCCTCAGCCCCCAAGTGCTGGGATCACAGGCCTGGGCCACCGTGCCGGGCTGCAAACTATGAAAATGTCAAATGGGGGTGCTGGGGAGATAGCCACCAAGCTCACAGGGAGACCCCTTGCTTCCAGTCTCCAAGGGAGGGGTTTCCAGCATCCTCACCCACCCTGGGTTCCTGTCATCTCCCCAGTTTAGTGTTTTGAAAACTGTTCCTTACCAAAAAAAAAAAAAAAAAAAAAAGGGGACCAGGGAGATGGCTCAGTGCAATAAGCGCCTATTCTACTGAGCTATCTCCCCAGCCCCTAGGTTGTTAATTTGTAACCTGCATCTTTTTTACGGAAAGTGATACAGGGAGAAAAACTGGTCTCGGGTGGGTCACCTCCAAACAATATAGGGAACCTCCAAATGATATAGGGAAGAATGAATTTTAGGAACAAACAAAGGTTATGAGCAGAATATATTTATTGAGAGAAAGAAAGCTCCTATCCAAGAGAGGGACAAGAGTGGGGGCCCCGAGTGGGTAGTTCTTCCCCAGGAAGTTGTCTCTCTCTCTCTCTCTTTTTTTTTGGCAGAACTAGGGGAATTGAACTCAGGTCCTTGACTTGCCAGGGAAGCGCTTATCCCACTGAGCCATCTCCCCAGCCCCAATTGGTACACTTTATATCTGCATAATACTCGCATTAATCATACAGAAATTTGTACTTGTACATGACAGTTCTCCCCTTTTTGTCTTTATTTAAAAGCCCAGCTTTATTTATTTTAAATTTTATGTACTTGGTACAGGGTCTCACTACACAGCTCAGACAAGCATCTGATCCTCCTGTTTTCAGCTTCCCCAGTATGTGCCACCTCACCCGGAGCATCCGGGGGCAGCGCTGGTGCGGCATTTGGTGCTGGGGATCAAACCCTGGTCCCTGCGCTTGCCTAAGCAGGCGCTTTGTCTGCTGAGCAATCTCACCTGCCTTCTTTTGTCTCTTTTTTTTTTTTTTTGGTGGTACCAGGGATTGAACTCAGGCCCCTGCGCTTGCCAGGCAAGCACTTACTCTACTGAGCTATCTCCCCAGCCCCTTTTGTCTCTTTTTAAAATTAATTAATTATTATTTTTATTTTTATTTTAGGGAAGGGCCTACAGGGTGTTCAGGCACTCACTACTAAACCGGACTTGTGGGGACAGGGCCGGAATGGCAGGCCTGGGGATTGAAACTCCAGCCCTGCACCTTGCAGGTGCTTTAATCCACTGAACTATTTGGCTAGCTCTTTGAGCTCACTTTATAGTCCAGGCTCAGCTTGAACACCCAATGATCCTCCTACCTCAGCCTACCGAGTGCTGGGATTACAGGCATGTGCCTCTATGCCTTGTATTACATGATATTTCCTTTTCTTTCTTTTTGCGGAACCAGGGATTGAACTCAGTCCCTTGCGCTTGCCAGGCTAGTGCTTATCCTACTGAGCCATCTCCCCCGTCCTACATGATATTTCTTAGGTATTTGGTACAGGATCTTACTACACAGCTCAGACTAGTAGTGACCCTCCTCTTTTCAGCCTCCCCGGCTCTGGGGTTACAGATGTGTGCCACCACGCCCAGACTGGGTCAAGGGCTCAGCATGCCCAGAAGCCCGGCCCGTGTGGCACTCAGTACCGGGATTAAATGTCGGTCTTTGAGCTTGCCTGAGCAGGCGCTTAGTCCACTGAGCCATCTCCCTGGTCCGGTACCAGGATTCTAATTCAGGTCTTTGCGCTTGCCAGGCAGGCGTGCTTAAGCCACAGAGCTATCTCCCTAGCCCTAATAAGATGAGATTCTAGAGCTAGGGAGATGGCTCAGTGGAATAAGCGCTTCCCTGGCAAGCGCAAGGGCCTGAATTCAATCCCCGGTTCTGCAAAAAAAAAAAAAAAAAAAAAAGTTGAGATTCTAGGTGTTGATTCTTTGTGATCCTTCCTATATAATTGGGGTTTTATTTGTAAAGTTTTCGCCTACACCAGTGTCTTCAAGAGTTTTACTAAGGGCCGGGGAGATGGCTCAGTAGGATAAGTGCTTGACTGGCAAACGCAAGGATCTGAGTTCAATCCCTGGTTCCGCAAAAAAAAAAAAAAGAGTTTTACTAAGTCTATCTTCCAGCAGATTTAATGTTTCTGTTGTAATATTTAGATCTTTGATCCATTTCGAATTTAATTTACTTTAGTGCATGGTGACATACATGGGGCCAGGTTTCATCTTTGGCATGTGCAGAGCCAGTTTTTCCAGCAGCACTTAATAAAGAGGCTTTCTCTCTTCCAGTGAACCTGTTTGGCACCTTTGTCAAAGATAAAGGGGCTGAGTGTGTCTGTAGCTATTTCTGCATTGTCTGGTCTGGTCCATCCATCGTTGGGCCTGTTTTTTGTTTTGGTTTGGTTTTGTGTGTGTGAAAGTACCATGCAGCTTTTTGTTTTGTTTTGTTTTTTGATCACAGTCTCATCATAGTGTAATTTCACGTCAGGGCTTGTGATGCCCCCTGCCGTGCCTTTTCTGCCCAGAACTGCCAGTGCTATTCTAGGTCTCTTCTGGCCCCGAGTGGCTAGTAGGAGTGCTTTCTCTAATTCTGTGAGATGTGCTGTTGGTGTTTTATCAGGATTACACTAAATCTGCATTGCCATTTTTGAAGCACGGCCATTTCCACCCTATTGGATCTTCCTAGCCGACCACAAGGGGTACCTTTTCATTGTCTGATATTCTCTTCAGTCTCCTGATTTAGAGAACTGTAGTTTTTGTTTTTTGGGGTTTTTTTGGCAGAACCGGGGATTGAACTCAGGCCCTGCGCTTGCCAGGCAAGCGCTTATTCCACTGAGCCATCTCCCCGGCCCCAGTACTGCAGTTTTTAACGTAGAGGTCTTTTACTTCTTTGTTAGATTTCTCCCTAGGTTTACTTATTTTTGCGGTACTGGGGATTGAACTTGGGACGTTGTGCTTGTGAGGCAGGCGCTTATTCCACTGAGGTATCTCTCCAGCCCCCCCCCCTTTTTTTTCTTTCGAGATAGGGTCTCCCTATGCAGCTCAGGCTGGCCTTGAGCCACTTTCTAGTCCAGTGCAGTCTTGAGCTTGCAACAATCCTACTGCCTCAGCCTCCTGAGTGCTGGAATGACAGGCGTTCACCTGGCTTTAGTTGCTATTGTGGAAGGTGTTGCTTTACTAATTTCTCTCAGTGATTTTTTTTTGTGGAACTGGGGGTTGAACTCAGGCCCTTATGCTTGCCAGGGAAGCGCTTATTCCACTGAGCCATCTCCCTGGCCCCCTATGTTTTCTTTTTGATCATATGGTTTTTCCTCCTTGGCTGTATTAATATGGCATATTACATTTGGTGGTTTGCATATCTGCATCCTTGTGATAAATCCTACTTGGTTATGGTGTACAATCTTCTTTTTTTTTTTTTTTTTGGACATAAATTTATTTACATCAACAGCCTTACAAAGGCATAGACTCATTCTGTGCCACATTTAACAAAATGTATAATCAAAAAGCTGGAGTGGGACCCCCTAGTGAGTCCCATGGGTCCAGCAATCGCAGCCCTTGGGGTCCCCAGGAACCTCAGTCCATCTGCACAGCTTCCAGCTCATCCAGGAAGCGCTGGCACTTCCTCATCAGCACTTTGATGGCTTCACTCACGAGCACATCCGGTGGCAGCACTCCTGTTGACTCAACAGAGAAGATGTAATGATCCCGAACACGGGCAAGCCGCACAGCCTTCTTAAGCTTCTCATGCTGGAAGACCTCCCTGCTGAAGGTGTCCAGCCTGGGATTAACGACTCGGGCTACTTTCTTTCCATGGACTTCTTGCACTTCAATAACACCAGGTGAGAAGCAGCGCCTCAGCTCCTCTGCAGCCTCGCCTTCCACAGGCTCAGGCAGGGTGATGTCTGGCAGAAGCCTGTAACTGGCTGTTGCCACTGGTGAAAACTTGGCATGATCTTTGCCAATGCCCTTGACACAATGCATGAGCAGGTCAATCTCCTGGCCAGGCCGCAGCTGAGCAATGAGGATGTCACCATGCACAGGCCGGATGGTACCCTCCGGGAAAACATCAGCCTGGTTCCCCAAGGGGACCCATGTCATGTGCCTAGTGTACACTGCAGAAACAGTGAGTCAGAAGAACCCGTCCTGGGAACAGCCCCACCCACACATGAGCCCTCTTAACTTGCTGCTCACCCTTGTGGTTCACATAGAGTTCATTGGGGTCTGAGGAATCTTTAGCAGCCTGGGGGTTCCGGGTGCACCTGACCTGCAGCCGGAACTGCAGAGTGTCTATCTCTGTGCCTTCTTCATCTCCT